CTTCTAGCATCCAGAACAGTAAGTGAACCATCTCGGTTGTTTAAAAGCCACTCAGGTTTTTGCTACTTTGTCACGGTAGCCTAAAGGGGAAGTAAAAAGATGAAGATGCGATATGTATATGTACCAGTTCCCCACAATGAATGTGTTTATTATGTATCACAAACAGACACTAATAAAAAATTTTTTTGAAAGCCAGTGCATCACCCAGACTCCCTATATTCCTTGTAACATTCTTTATCCTTCTAGGAATTCAAGCTGAAAGTCTGAGTATCAACCTGAACCCCAACTCCCTCCCTTGGTGCTCAGGGTTTTTTTATTTCTGCCACATCTTCCCCTGTCAAGTATGATCACCCTGACTCTCATCACTGTGGTCTACTGTCCCTCTGTCCAATTGCTCACTGTACACATTTACTAAGATAGCTCTGGTTGTGTCACTGTCATCACTGCATGTGTTTTGTGCTTTGTGTGTCCCCACTTTCTGTAGCAGCTGGTTACATGGTATAGTTACGTGAGGAGATATTAAAGCCCTTGGGCCCACCATGCACCACTTTCTCTCTAATCACACTCCAGGGGGTGGCATCCAGCATGAGCACTGTCAAAACTTGGTGGTTGATTACAGGGTACAACCAAGCTTGAAACCGATTGGTTGAGAGAACGACATTATAGCCAAAAGAAATAACAGAGAAGTAGAGAGATTTAAGTCAATGGTTTTCAGCTGGGGGTGATTGCGCATATGGAACATAGTTGACAGTGTGTTTAGTTTGGGAAACTGGGGTGGTGATATTGGCATGTAATGAGGAGAGGCCAGGGGTGTTGTGAAACACCTACACTATCCGTGCAGCCCTTGAAGCAAAGAAGAGGCAACACCAAACCGCCCATGCTGAGGTTGAACAAGCCTGATACAAGAGATAGGAGAGAGGTAGCAGTGTTGACCTTGGCTCAAGCCAGACAAACATGGTCCCCCACAGTGAGGATGTCACACATGCCACCTCATACACAGTGTGCCTGTGCTGTGCACATTTCTCAGTCCAGTAGCTGAAGCTTTTCTTGCCAGGTCTGCATCCTGTGACCCCTCAGGCCACTGTCACTGAACTTATTCTCTTGCTGTCTTTTTGAAAATGAAGTCTAGTGGAGGAGGGATTTTTTGCCAGGAGAGAGAGAGAAAGACTCATCACACCTCAAGTTGGCTTCTGCCAAACTCAACAATCGCTGTTTTGGCAGCCACCAAAGCTCCTAATGAGGACACTGCCTGTCATTAAATAAACAGCTGATTAGGGTGGGAAGCAGTTGGCCAGAAAGAGACAACGCATATGTTCAGAGTTGCTGATGTTGGCCAGTTTGGCCAGCTGGCCTCCCTGGGAACCACCTGTCCCGTGAGAGAAACACTGACAGTGACACTGTGCACTCAGGAGCTGGACAGTCTGTGCATCATCTGCCTCAGCTCTGAGCTGTGCACCTGTGTCATTGCCCATTAAGGTCAGGAAGGCGGGTACGTAGGAAGTGAAGAGGAAGGACATCAGGAAGGAGTAATAAGAGTATGAAATTGAAAGGCATTTCTCAAAAACCCACCTTACATGAAAAAGTGTTTGTGTGAATGGAAGACAAAGGCATTACCAAACTGAGAATGCTTTGGGAAAGTCTGGTTATGGAAAGGACCAGTTCCAGGCAGTCACATTCTAAACTTCTGGCTCTGTTCTGTGTCTTTTTTAAATTTAAGTGGTGTTTCAAATAGCATTGAATTATTAATATTTTGGATATTTCTACTAACTGAAAAGTGTATTTTGGACCTTAGATGTATTACTTAACAGTTCTTAGCTGGTGGGTTAGAACATGCCTGTAATACCAGCCCTCTGGGAGGCTGAAGCAGGAGGATTGCCCAACCCTATCTAAGAATAAAAATGGGCTGGAGAGTACCTCAGTGCAAAGGCCCTGGGTTAACATTCCCTAGGAGAGAGGGAAAGGAAAAGAGAGAAAGAGACAGAGAGAGTGAGAGACAGAGAGAGAGAGAGAGAGAGAGAGAGAGAGAGAGAGAGAGATTCTAGCTCTACTTAATTCTATTTTGACTGAGGCCAGAAGAAACTTAAAGGGCAATTCCAGAAAACTGGGCCACATAGGCATTGGTTACCATCTCTGGTGGCTGTGTGTCAGGAATAGAGACACACGTTAGATCTGTGTGCAGCTCAGCGAACTGTCCACCAGCTGAACAGTCACGTACATAGAACAGTGCACACAGTAGGTGCTTAAGGAAGCCCCCTCCATCCACGTTGTTGTCACTGTGATACCATAGAACTTGTGTACGTAACGGCATCGTGGTTTGGGAAAGTTCTGTGTCCCCTTAGCCTGGAGAAGGCAGCGACAGTGCCTGTGTCTGTGCTTCTTGGAGACATTAGCACTTGGCAAGCCACTTTGCACCTTTACTCAGCAGCTGCAACCCTACAGGCCTGTCAGAGGAACCACGTAAATCTGCTGATCATCTCAGGCAGTATCAGCAGTGTCACAGGGTTGGATGGCGTGTACCACTTTGTGGCGGTATTCTTATTCCTTTCAGAAGCATCTGTACTGTCTTGCACCTTGGAGCTCAGAAAAACGTTTTTGGTTCTTGGAGACATTTCTCACGTTATCCATCTATGTTTGGGTCAAACATACATGCGTACCTGGAAGACACTAGAAACATACATTCAGTTTTCTTTCATGTTGTTGACAATTTTTCTATGGCTATTTTTCTGGATCAAATGGTTTATTGTAACCCTCAGGCTGCTTAGGAGTTGTGAGGCTGCTTATGTGTTGATACAATGGTAATTTCTAGAATACCATAGATCTTTGCCCCAGTGAAGATGATGAAGTTGTGAGGAAGCAAAAGAGATGAACTCTTCATCTTCCTGTAGCTGTTCAGAGTGAAAGTATAGCAAGATGGCAACCTGAGGATTTGTGACCATTTCATCCAGCTGATTTTTTGGTCACTGTGATACGGAGTTAAGACTTGTTTATATTTATATTATATTATATATTAATTAACAATGTCTTCTATATCCTGCCTTCCCTCTTGTATCAATATTAGAATAATATTTCTAGCCAGGTACAGTGTTCTATCTCTGCTAGTTGGGAGGCTGAAGCAGGAGGATCACTTGAGCCCAGGAACTCAAGGCTAGCTTGGGCAACATAGCTCTGCTGATAGATAAACAGGCAGATAAAATTTTTTTAAATCAGTACCCTAAAATTATTCTACTTTGCCAGTAATAGAATTGAATGACATCATTAGACACTTTTAAAAACTGGCACAGCTAATCATACTTTTCTTTTGTGCTGAATTGGATTTCATTTTGCTTTCAATTTTCATTGAACTCTCAAGGTGGACCATCCTGTCATACACCAGTATATTTACCCTTTGCAGAGCATGTTTAAAACTTTCCCATTAGGACACATCATAGGTTTGTCCCATGAAGGTAGTTATATCACAAAGGACTCTTTTTTTCTTTTCTTCTAAAATCTCCATTTTAGGCTGCCATGCCTCTGGATCCACTCACCAGGAGACAATGAAATTGACGGAGGCCAAGGTTGGTTGTGGGCATGGTCTTCTAGGACAATGGGGAATGGGGAAAATGAGACATAATACTAAAGGGAAATGTTGAAGCAGGCTCAGCTGGTTTTCTAAATCTCTTGTTTAACAAGCCAGAGGTACTGAATGTTGGGTTGGGGGGATTATCTAAAACCAGTGCATTAAAAGATCAGGTTATTAGAGGGTTTTGATTCAAAATCTTACACAGTTTTTTAAAAAATATTGGGCAGCAAACCCTCTGAACTTGGGGGAGCAGTTTTAGGAGAGAGATGGGCTCCAGCTTGCCACCACCTTTTGGGTAAGTGTTAAGCATAGCCAAGTTGCAAACGCAGCAGGTCAGGGAGTCCCTCATTCTGTGGTTATCTGTTGTCATCTTCCTACTGCATGTGAATTTCTATAACTTTTTCAAATACAGAAGATGGAGATAAGTGGGCCAGCCAAATGTATTAAAAATGGTGTAGAAATTAGCAGTGCTTGTGAACATACAGCTCATAATCATGATCAAGGCTTACATACTAGGGTGGGCTAAGGATGCCAGTGAGAGAGTATCTAAGTATGCCAAGAGGCTTGTGAAATCAGTGATCAAAATCCCCACTCAGATACTGTAGCCTCTGTGGTGAACACTTAAAATGCTCTTGCAGCCTGGTGCTACACACCTGTAATCCCAGCACTCGGGAGGCTGAGGCAGGAGGATTGTTTTGAGTTCAAGACCAACCTGGGTTACAAAATGAGCTCAAGGCCAGCCTGAGGGTCTGTATAGTGAGACCCTGTCTCAAGAAGATAAAACAAATAAATAAATAAAATGTTCTTGCAAATGCCCTTTTGATTTTGAGTGAGGGGTTTTAACAAAACTCCATCTAGAAGGAACCGCACCAAATTAAAAAAGATTTTGGTTTTTATTCAGAAACCACCGAAATGCTGGTTAGCTATGCTGGTAACCTGCAATGCTTATTTTTAAGTAAGGAAGGGTACCTTTTTATTAAGGAGCTTGGGCTTAAAGTTTCTCTTACTATCATGTATATTACCTGCTGACAAAGGAGTATATTCTACTGCTGAATCGCTGAATTGCTACACTGCAATTGTTAAATCCATACTGGGCTTTTCTTCCTGCATCAGAACGGCTACCTCTCGTCTTTAATATATATTTAAACAAAATGAACCTGTGAAAGCATAGTGTTTTAAACAGCCCATGGGCACATCCTTTGGATATGTTTTACGTGTGTTCAGGGATAAATAGAGGAAGTAAAAAACTGTGATGGCCCATAAAAGGGTGGCATGGGAAAGAGAGACACCCATTCTCCCGAGAGACAGCATACACTGTGGCCAACCAACTAAGTCACGTGGTGGGAGGGGGCTCTTTATTTTCTCCTCCACAGCCCTTCCTCTGATGTCACAAATCTATTCTTTCCTGGGAGAATTAATTAGTATTCACTGGGTGCAGTTGGCAAGAAGAAAGGAGGGAGGGCAGAGGGAGAGAGATCTTAAGAAAGAGAGCAAGAAGCAAGAGCCTGTGGGGGAGCAGATCCTCCCCCGGCCGGCCGCATTGAGAGTGGGGGTACAGTCGGGTGCAGAATGGCTGTTTTATAACTGGGATCCTCGCTGACGTATGGCTGCCGGCTCCTTGGCAGCTGTCTTTATGGACCAGTAGGCAGAGCGAAATTGACGCTGACAAGACTTTTGCATCTTGGAAGGAACTGTAATCTACTGTAGTGAAGAACAGAGCCTCTCAATCAGGCGGGTGTAAATAAGAGACCGAGGGGAGCCCAAAAGAAAAGGAAGAGGAGGGAAAAAAAGCGTGCATTAGGGGGAGCAGGCAAAAGCATTTTTGGTGGATGGTATGAAGCCAGCCATGGAAACTGCAGCCGAGGAAAATACTGAACAAAGCCAAGAGAGAAAAGGTACCCCACGCTCTGACAATAGCCTGTTTAAAGCTTTTCACTGAGGGTGCTTGAAAAGGGTTAGCTGGGTTTTGTCCCTCTTTGCAAATGGCTCTGATACAATCCCTGTGGCATGAGCTTGTTTTCAGGGTGGTGGTTTCCTGTGGGCTAATGTTAAATTAACAGAGCAGCCTCTCAGCGACCTATTCCTTTCACAAATCTTTCTACGGAAGGTGATCTTTCATAGAAGGATGTCTGGAGTTTGTCACCTTGGGAGGCTGGGTTGGGGAAACTGTCTTTTTATTAAATAGCATTAATCATAATCGAGGTACTGGGTTCTGCATGTGATATTCCAGGACGTGAAAATGTGTGTCTTCTACTAGTGCCGAGGAAGGACGAGAGGGCATGCATGCTAATTATGCTTTGGTTTGGACCTTCTCTGATTTTCTTATTCTAATATGATTGCTCTTCCCATATATCAGGCCCCGACTGTGACATGTAATAATTATTTACAGTTGGAGTTTGAGAGGGAGGACGTGAGCTCTGTCGCCTAGTGCTGCTGGGGTGGGGAAGTCTTTCGCTAGTTACAGCGTAAAAAATTTGGGGTAGGACAATTGAGAAAGGTCTTGTTCCTTAAAGATAATCTTAGACCAGGTCACACTTTTGATACATAAGGTAGCTTTTTCAAGAAATTGGTGTTTCTACAGTGAGAAAATGGCAGCAAATAGAAGCTAATATTAATCTCTCTTTTCGTAAATCCCAACTGATGTCAAGTGTGCTGCCCCATGAAATCAGCTCAGCCACTGTTAGTTAATGGCATAGCACTGCATTGTAACTGATGTCGCTCGCTGGAAGTTGTAGATGGTCATAAATGTGCAAAAACATGCTCTACAACTGCAGTGATTCTGATGCCAAAAACCTTCATGCTAAGGTTTTGTCTCATGGCCCTTGAGTCCAATGACAGTCACTAAACTATAGTAATTTTCCAGGAGAGAGGTATAACTATAGTTTCCTTGTGACTATGCAAGTTGAACCAGATGAAATTGCGAATAATCAACCATTTTAAGCCTACAAAAAACCAGCAAGTATATGTGGTTCCACTTAACAGCGTGCTAAGGTGAAGGCTCCTTGCTTTTATATAGAATGTCTGTGTATGTTGACATTTTATCCTAAATAGAGCAATTTAAATTTTTAAGTTTATTTTTTAAAGTATGATAAAACACATGTGACATTAATTTGCCATTTTAACCATCCTTTTTTTTCATTTTAGAACTCAGTGGCATTAAGCTAGTGATTAAACTTTAAACTTGGTAGTTTAGTTCAGTCCTTTTATCAAACCTACCTCCTCCCAACAAAAGACAATTTGTCTTTTCTTGTAGGTATCTTTTTTTCTTTTTTCAAATCTGTGTGAGTGACCAGGTGGCAGGCAATATGAGAAGCTCTTAGGAATACTCATCAAGCTGAGGAAGTGAGATCAAAGTTTTAAGATTCATGTCCATGATCAGAAACTAAGTTGCTTGTATATTTGGAGGATATAATTAACGCAATAGCATTGTCCTGAGGAAATCTCTCACAGTTTGTAACAATTCATTTTTCCCTGAAGTAGGTGATTCTGTTTCCTACATAGTTTTCATTTTTAGTAATATAGTGCTTGCCTTTAGCAAATAAAGCCATTTTGATCTCTGCAGAAACATACCTTTCTTTTTTTCTCTCTAAAGCAGTAGAGGAATATATAACCAGTATACAGCCCTTACTACACAACTGTGTATCTTATCATATTGTTTCATGGACTATTACTGATTTTATGTCCATTAAATATTATTCAATAACAGGTCTACAGGTTGCATTTGCATTGCTGGCAATCTGTATATGAAAACTCACAAGCTCTGGTTTTAGAGACAAAATTAGAAATGAAACAATCATTCCTAGAGAAACTTTTAAAATGACACATAACATATATATATATATATATATATATATATATATATATATATATATCAGCTGTTCATTAAATCATTCAAAAACACCAAGGGATCAAAAGATAGTGTCACACCTATGATAGGTCCAGGTCTAAATAATAATATGGGCCAGGAAATTTATTTTTACTGATGGATAGCCCCAAGGATTGTGATCAATTTGTGACCTACCAAAACATTGATCTGGAGGGCGGCCTGTCTTTTAGTGCTCATTTAGACGAACAAGTTCGTTAACCAGCAGCCCAAAGTGTCTTTCTAGCTCCCCCAGTTTGCTTGCCTGTTGTCTTAGTTGCACATAAAAAACAATAGCCACAGCAGTCGGGTGTGCTCATTTACCCCCATATTCCCTCTGATTTACTGGATAAATGCTTATTTCATTTAAATTAACACTTAAAACTTTTCCATCATTACTTGGAGGATGTATGATATCATCCTGGACCTGGTGGCTCCCAGCCACCCCTCCGTCTTTTATTTTTAAGCCTATCAGCAAGGGCCCTTCTTTCTTGGATTTAGTCCTATACATTTTGTCACTTCAAATGGAGTTTTTTATGTACACAGTTTTTCCTTCTCTATTCCTCCATTCTCACTTGTTTTTAATTGTTGGCGACAGGGACAATGCCTGTCCTTTAATTTGGGATACTATTGTCCACCGGATAGCTTGTGAATTAATAGCTTTGGATAATTAATATTACAGTGTCTATTAAGAATATAATGGAAGCTCAGATTTATAAATTGGCCTCAGCTTTTTTAGTCTGTGTCCTTTCCCAGGAGGGAGTTTCCACCGGATAACACATCCCAGCTACAGTGATTCACTAACTCCTACTGAGAGAGCTGTTTCTTTAAAAACTAAATCAGAATGCCTTTGTTCCTATTTTGAACAAAAATAATCCAAAGCTTTATAAAAGGAAAACATTTGTATTTTTGAAATTGCCTCATTGCTTTTGTCAAAGAATACTACTGGGTGACCAAAATTCACAAGAAGTGCTCAGTAAATATTCAGGAATAAAGACAAGCAAGCAGATTTTTCTCAGATGAATGTACGAAATGCTTAATTATTGCAAATGACAGTTTTAAAATTGGGAGCATTAAATTAAATCAAAGTGTGAGGATTGAATAAGCAAATTCACTGAAAATGGAGGAAGGGATGAAAATGAGTAAGGCAGAATCAAAGAAAATAGATCATGAGGTCCAGTAATAAAGAGATGGAAAGTGCGGTTTCCATTTATTTCAGTGGAATATTACTTGATATCAGTTCATTTGTGAAAACAGATGCATCTAGAATTGTTAGGAGCATGTACTTACTAGGAAGAAAAGCAATCAAATCCCAGAAACTCTTCATACACTATTATGTAAAAAAATTGAGTGTCTGTTATGAAAATTATTTTTATTATGTGTAGGAAATTGGATTCTACTGAAGTAATTACAGTCAGGCTACTTTAGTTCCTGTGAATCGCAACTGAAACAAATTCCAGAATCCACATATCAAATTAAGTTCCTAACCACATAAGAAGAAAAATATAGTCAATTGGAAATAATGTTTAATTCAGCTGGGCATGGTGGCACATGCCTGTAATCCCAGCACTCACGAGGCTGAAGCAGGAGGATTGTTGCAAGTCTGAGAGCAAACTGGGTTACAAAGTGAGCTCAAAACCATCCTGAACTGCACAGTGAGATCCTGTCTCAAAAAGATAAAAAAGAAAAGAAAGAAAAAGAAAAATGATTAATTTAAAATAAATTGCAGGATATAGTCAGAGTAACAAATGCATTCAAATTATTGACTTGTTTAAAACATTAGAAATTCCATTTTGGTGTTTTGATCAAGGAGACATAATTTCTTATATTTTTTTAATTTAACAAAACGTGTGTGCTTTTAGATGACCCTTTTTTTTACTCAGAAAGTAAAACATTTCTCCACCTTCTGAGCTTGTATGCTATAACCCAAAGGGAAACAGTTGACATTTTATAATGGTCTATGAGCTAGTGAATTTTTATTGACATTTTCTTACCTGTTTATGAGGCTGTGGCCTGGAGAAAGTTTTAGATGCAGTTATTCTCTGTCAGAATTTGCCAGGGTGGACATTTGAAGAGGCGGTATCTAGGGAGTAGGCTGTACAGAAAAGTGGCCGGCCAGATGGCATGGAACACATGTAGGTATGATATGACATCCTTTGGGGATTTTTTAAAAGAAAAATTAAGTGTGGAACAAGATCTCAAGGAGCCATTTGGTGATCTGCTACTTTCGTATCATCAGTTCCATGAGCATGCTTGAAGACTTGCCCTTACTGATCCTTGAGAAAAAGAATTCCTGCCTATTTCTGGAAATTGGGATTTGTCTTCCTTGGAATTGAATGTAAAGCTGAATTCAGATTGCAAGTTTTTAAGATCCCGTTTCTCTGTCACTCAGAAGTACAGGTCAAGTTGAAGTGAATGGTCCTAATAAAATAAACTTGTTAAGTCTCGCTATATCTGAGAACATGTGAAACAGCCAACATCCTTAGGATGTCACCTTCCCCTCACTGAATTGGATTTTCCAAAGACACTCCCTTGCTTTCTTCTCGTTGGACCAGATGCACATACACATGAGGCGACTGTTCAGAAACAGTTGTGGCTGCGGGATGGAGGAAGAGCCAGACGCATGTTGGCTTTGTGAGAGGGAGGCTCCAATCCTAACTTTGCAAAAGTGCTTCATTGTTTTCTTCATTTATTCATCTAGTAATGCTCTCCTTTACATCTCCTTTGAAATGTCAACCTTCCCTGTCTTCTTAGTCTATGTTCTAGGAGTGGCAGGGAGCTAGCGCATTATAGGCACCACTAGGAATATAATCGTGGGTTTAACCATGATTTTGCTGGTTGGTGGCAAATTAAATGGCAGACAGCAGTGCCACGGAAGAGAATCTCGACCCCCTAGTCAACCTAATGACATTTCCTTTTAGAGCATGCCATAAGAGAAAGTGAAATAATATTCTATTTTACAGTCTGATTGTATTAAATACACTAACAGCTTACTATAATCAAGCCTTCCTATACCACATCCAATTCCAGGGGTTCACAATCTTTTTCCATAAAAGACCAGTTGGAAAATACTTTGGGCTCTGCAGGTCCCAGGTCTCTGTTGCACCTGCTCACGTCTGCCATTGCAGCGTGAAAGCAGCCACAGTACAGAAACTAATAGCTGGACTGGGTTCCGGACAAACTTCATTATAAAAATAGATACCATGGTTTGCCAACTTTCACTACATTCTGTTGTTGTGGCTTCCTTTAGTAACTAAAAATGAAGGCTGCCTAGCAGAGCCCTGAAAGACCTTGCCTAGCCAAGATGGTCTTCCTGGGCAGCTCAGTGTTTGTCACTTAATTCCTTCCAGGGCTAATTTCCAGGTGCTAAAAATCATTCCACTCTGCAGTTTTGCTCGATCAGCCCTGTCACGGATCACATTATCTAAGTAAATAAGGGAAAGGGGAACGAGGCACTGCTTTGCTTTCCTTTCCTCAGTTTCTCATTGTGTCATGGCTGCCTTTGGTGATGGCTATTCCATACGCCACCACTGCTTACATCACCACTATCTTCTGATTGCAAAAGAAGAACCTTTTGAAGTCTTTCCCAGTATAGCAGAAACCATTTCCTCATTCTTGTCGGATGCTAAATTGAACAAGATGTTTAATAAAGCACTCGAGCAGAGGATCCTTCTTACAATCAGATGACTCAGCTATTGGGACCCTATCTTTGGGAATAAAATGTATATTATGACCTCTGAGATTTAATGAATAATCTTAGATTTAATGGCTCAATTTCACCTTGGCTCAACAGTATAAAATAGAAGTGGCTTTCTTTTCTTTCACATGTAAAGATTTACTGTTGTCAAAAGGCCTCCCCAGAAGTATTAGTCAAAAGAACATCCATCCACTTGCCCAGTCCTACTTCTGCATCTACTGGCTTGCCTTTTTTTTTTTTTTTTTTTTTTTTTTTTTGGTCTTTTTTCCTTTTTATCGGTACCGGGGATCGAACTCACGACTGCCTGCTTGCAAGGCAGGCGCTTATGCCTCTGAGCTAAATCCCCAACCCCTGCTTGCCATATTTTTATTGTCATTTTATTGTCATTATTTGAGTGTTTTAAGCATGGCTACCATTTTTTTTTCTCAGAAAAGACATCAGGATTGGAGCGTTCATGGTTTTTCATGATTGTCACCCAGTAGCCAGTACCTGAGTGCCCAAAATCTGCAGATATCCCCATCCAGGTGAAGAGATGAGGACAGGGTATGGAGGAGTCCTCTGAATTGCATGGCTTGGATAGGGTAAGAGTCAGCAAGGTGACTTCCGGGCCACAGGATGCCAGGGTGCTTTCAACCAAATATTCATTCAGCAAATATTTATTGGCTACCAACTGTGTGCTGGGTGTACAGAGATACAGTTTGAAAAAAGCAGATGAGGCTCAGTAGTAAAGTGCTTGCCTAGCACAAATAAGGCCCTGGGTTACATCCCCAGCACGAACCCCTACCCCAAAGAAAATGTTCATAATCAAGGGTGATTGAGCTATTTAGAATCTTCTTCCTTGGGGGTCAATGAGAAGGGCTCACCTCTTTACCAAGAGAAAATGGATTGTGTGAGGTGACCTGACCTTCTGGCTCCTTCCTCCAGCCTAGCTGCATTTCTTTGCCTCAGAGAATATAGTACCACTTTTGTCTCCGAGAATCTCTTGAAATAGTAAACATCTAAATCCAAAGAAGGCTGAGAGTTTAGAACTTTCTCCCTGAATTCATATCAGTAGCTGAGGACCTGGACCTTTTCTTTAGAAGACACAGAAACCCAGCTCACGTCCACATGAACCTCAGAGAAATTCTGCTTACCTTTAAGTAATGCCTCTGCAAGGGTGGAGAACTTCAGCAAGTGTTGAGGTCCTGGAGGATATGGTGTTATTGAAAGTACGCCCTCTGGAGGCTGATTGCCCAGGCGTGCCAAGCCTTCTCTGCCCAGTGCCTGAATTACCAGTGATCATTCCTGTCTCATTGCTCTCCCTTCATTTGGCAAGATGGAATAATGATTTCACAGGCTAACTGTGACAAGTGAGGTAATAGGTACCATGTGCTTAACATGACTATCATATACTAAGTCCTCCATCAAGTAGACCTGTGGTCATCCTTATTGACAGCAAAACAAACAAAAAAAATGTTTAATAGTACAGTTCTGATCTTATCCAAGTATCTTTAATTTTCCCTTTTTAACAAGGCATTTTTAATTTACCTTGGAACCCAAAGGATTTTCTCTAAAGTACCACTTGGAAAAGAATGTCTCTGCTTCCCAAATGGAAAGCTCTGGAGAGTTTTCAGAGTTAGTGGAGAATAGAGTTGGTACTTCGGGCAGGCTCTGTGAGGTGTTCAGTGGGCCTGGAGGGGTGGTGTCATGTTGCCTTGTGACATGGTTATTTGTTGGTCTTTATCTTCAGTGATCTGTGGTGCCATATGAAAGATTCAAACCCATTCTCCTGATGGAACCATCGCCCAAGTCAATAACAGAGGCATTGTTTTTTGGTCCTTAAATATTTATGATACCCCAGAGAATATAACCAATTAGGTTTTCTGGGATTTTCAGGAAGACAACTGGCCATAGTTTTTCAGGGACTCTAAGACTGTAATTCATCTAACGGTTACCAAAAGCCTACTGTGTACCGGGCAAATTGGAAGGTATTTTTCTTGCCAAAACTCTAAGAAGTGGGAAATACAGTCACCAGAAAGAGACTTGATTCCCCAGGGGACCAATTGTCACCACTTTGAGTGAGTAAACAGTAGTGTGACCCCAGGCCAGCAACCTTTTGTAACATGGCAAGAGATCACTGAGACTGGATTTAATCAAGAACATTCTAGGTTCTGATAAAATGAGCTGAAGAGAATGTGACAGAGAATATCACAGATGTCAGTGAAAGGACAGACATTTATTTCATTCGGAATTCAGCAGGCCACAGGATAATTTGCCAAAATTTTAGGATGGGAACTGGGGACCATTATGGAGAGTGAGCCCGTGTTCACCTTTGCTTGTACAGCTGGCAGTAATTATAGTGCTCTGTTGGTCTGAAAAGGAAATCGACAAAGAAAACTACTGTGAGAAGCCAAAATTTAACTATAAATAGTATCTTCCCAAAATGAGCACTTTAAGAGGTGAGTTGGGGGGAGGAGGAAAGATATTGAGCAAAGAAAACACTATTTGGGGGCTTTGTGTAAGCATAAATTCAAAAATGGAAAAAGAAACTCCCAACATTCTTACATTTATAATGCTGAGTTGATAAGTTGGTACTGAAGGGTTGCATTTCAATAACATATTCTTTGAACTCCCCATTCCTTTAACTATGTGGTAAAAGAATAACATAAAATGCTGATATAGAATCTTTGCTGGAGATAGAGACACTGACTCTTTGCCACCTGAAATTGGCAGTGAACAGCAGAGCTGAAATGGAAATTGGCAGGTACCACTGGATGTACCCAGGCTCAAAGAACCACCAGTACCATCCTGTGCCAACCCTGGGGGACAGGGCTAGCCCCTTGAGCAGTCCAGGTAAATACAGCCTTGGGGAGAATTCTAACAGCAAGTCAACTGTTATCTTTACTATGATTTGTAATGGCTCTTTCGGCTTGGTGATATTTCATGTTTTGCTTGATGCGTTCATTTGTTGACATGAGCATGGGTGGAATTGGCCCTTTGCAAGTATTTTGATCATCTTTCATTTCTCTCTCTCCCTTTCCATTCCACCCCCATTGTCTTTTACTTTATTCCCCCATTCCTTCTTTCCTCACCCCCACCTCTTCTCAAAGAATACAGTCTGCAGTGAGATATGTCTTTGGGTGACCCATGAAATTTCAGGTGTATGAACCAGTAGTAGGAAAGGGGACCATACCTGTCCAACTTAGGGCCCAGAACTGGCCAGGGCAGTCAAGGAGCCTTGGAGCTGCAAGTCTTGAGCATCCCCAGTGCCCACCTGTCCCTACCACTTGGCACTACTTTCTTTTAATGTCAGTCATTGCCTTTGAGAAGCCTGTGTAATCTTCACTGTGTATTCACTTCCCAGCAGGTAGGCCCACGGGGCCCGTTTCCCATCGTCCTCGCTCATGCTGACCACTGGCCTCTCTGACTGCCGGGTGGTAGGTCTGAGTGAAATGTGCGCAAGTCTGTTTGGGGACCTAGGATGGGGAGAATGCTGATCAATAAGCACATTCACTCTCCCATGTCCCCAGGTCCTCACATGGTTTAATATTCTGCACCCCCAAAACCTACTGATTTTTACCAACAATAAACCCTAGTTCAGTTTACTGCATAAAATGTTGTTATAATGAGCTGGAAATGGGGTTGGAGAAACACAGCAACAACCTTCAAGTATTGCTGATTTTGTGTCAACCCATAAGGTCAATTTTCTCGAATGCTTGCCTGCTTTTTGAGGACTAAGTCAGAAATGATGACACGTAGAGCTGAGGAGAGACCAATCCTGAGATATAGTGCAAGATACCACTAAATGGCAGCCACAAAACCTGTAATTTAATAAAGCTCTTTCTACGTCCTTTTAAAACCTAGATTGTGGCATCGGATTAATTAACCTGAAATCTGACTTTGAGTCAGTGCTGTATCTTGGGGTATGCATTCCTTCAATCAACATGTGGCTGTTAGGTGCTGGTCCAAGTGTGCCTGACTGCTCCTGGTTAGAAAAGCTGAGACAAGATGAACCAGGCATCCTTTCTCAGAGATCCTTTAGAGGATGCACAGGGTTCTGGAATCTTGCTTGACAAATTGCCATTAGATGTGCTATGCCCATGCAACACATTACTGTTCAGCTAAGAAGGAATGACGTGCTGATATATGAGGTGGCAGGCGGTGGATGGCCATCAGAAACATGACGCTAAATAAAAGCAGCCAAACCCGAGAGACCCAATGTATTATGACTATTTACATGAAGTTTCTAGAGCTGGTGAATCTGTAGAGACAGAAAGTAGATTCATGGTTGCCAGAGGCTGGAGGAAGCTGGGAATGGAGATTAAGTACTGGTGGGCCATAAGGGTTCTCTTTTGAGGTGATGAAAATGTTCTAAAATGAAATCGTGGTGACAGTTACACAATTTGTAAGTCTACTCAAAACCATTGAACTGTACACTTTGCACAGGTACATTTTTTGATATATAAATTATATCTGAAGCTATTTTGAAAGAAGAAAATGCTCCCTCCCCTGCCACTACAAGGGACTAGGGATAAGCTCAGCAGCACAACGCTTGCCTGGCAAGCCTGAGATTGTGAGTTCAATTCCAGGTACAAAAAAAGCCCCCTACCACCAACCTGTTGGATGTGCATAATTCAAGGTGGGGATGAGAAAGAAATATTTGTCAATATAACAAGAAAGAGCCCCCTCCCCATTTATCAGACACTATGGTGAGGTGGAATGGTTCATTTTCAGACTGTTTGATGATGCTAAGCCAGTTGGAAATCCAGAAGGAACTTGAGTCTTTCCAATATTTTAATTCACTAAACCGTGTGGTAAGGAGTAACCATTATGCTGGGTGTGGTAGCACAAGCCTATAATCCAAACATGCTGGGAGAAAGTTTGAGTTTGAACCTAGCCTGAGTAACTTAGCGATTGAATGAGATTCTGCCTCAAAAATTAGAAAAGGGCTGAGAGAGGTAACTAGTGCTAAGGGCCTGGGTTTAATCTTAGTACTACGCAAACAAAGAGAGTAAATAGCAATATGGGAGCTATGTACCTCCATCTCTAGCTCTCGACAACTTTCTCCAAGTGTTGAGCAGCCCCTTATATAAGCATGGGGGGGGGGGAGATTTCTGTATGTTTTTTTAACCAAACCTCAGAATATTAGCATTCTAAGCAACAGTACCAACGAAACACAAGACTCTAATTTCTGAAATCAAGTTGTTGGAGAATTCTGAAGAGTTTGGGTTCTCCAAAGGCATACGGCGTGATACCACCAGCACGATCTGGTTGCCACTCCCCATGCGTTAGTCTCCACCAAGCCGGAGGCAAATAAGTGCAAACTGTCACCGGTCCCTTGTCCATTCCAGTTGGATTCTGACAGCAAGATCATTAGAATCATCATAGGTTTTGCTGCCAGCTGAATCAGTCAAGAAGTAATTTTTTTTAATCCATAATTTTGAGGTTTTTGTTTCTTTTCTTAATTTCAGAATGGTGTGATGAGACATTATGAAATTTGCATGGTATCAGGATGCGGGTAACATTATAAGTGAGACTTCCATGAACTAGGGAAGAAACAAAATCCCTGAATTTGATTTAAATAAGTACATATCTTCCTAGACCCAGAAATGGTCTCTACTCACATGTTGTTTAAATATATGCATCAACTACGGATCAGTAGAAATAAGATGCTTCTAAGGCATTAAAAGTTGGGAGCCAGCTACAGAGGAGACCTTAATGCTTGATAGTAGAAAGACAATGGTTAGGCCAGCGGGGAGCCCTAATCTGGCCCAGTTAGCGCCTTTCCAGGCGCTGGGAGGTTTTGTTGGCTTCAAAATCTACGCAGTTGCCATTCTGTACTTAGATTCCAAACCAGATGGTGTGAGGGAGAAAATAGAGAATTCCATATGGCTCTTGCATGTTGCTTTTTTGGGGGGAGGGGGTAGAATTCTGTTTCTTTCCATGGAGGAATAAGGAGGTTTTGACACAGGCCGAGCAGGAAGTCTTTGCCAGTAGAGGATGTCTGTCTCACCTGTGTGGTCACAGTGAGTGACACTGCCTTTACCCAACTTACTTAGTTCCCTCTGCCCCCAGAAAGGTTAGGATGGTTCCAGTCTCCTTTGTCTTGGTGTTTTTCATGTCTGTCTGTCTTTCCTGTCTTCTGTAATTTCCCAATAGAATTATGTTTTTTTGATTCTCACCATTGGTTTCTTTTTTTTTTTCTTGTCTTCTCTTTGATTTAGCCCCTCTGGTCAGGTCCTGTTCACAGAAGGAGATCAGAGGGACTGTCCACAGGCAACCCCTTAGGAGACTGCCTGTTCTCTGCTACCTGGGGCAAGTAGGGTACAAAAGAAACAGCTAGCACTAGGTCTGCACTCCCTGGTGCTATAGATCCCTGTGCCAGTTACACAGGCTTCGCAGGATAGTGGGTGAATTTTGATCCTCTGTTCCACACATAGGCTGTGGCGCAGTAGGACTGGCATAGCTCAGGAGCTTTTCAGAAATGCAGAGCCTCAATGAGCCATAGGGAATCAGGACCTGCACTGTAATAAGATTCCCATGTGCGCACATGAAAGTTTGAGAAGCACTAATTTAGAGCAAAAAATGAGACCACAGGAAGAAATTAAAGATATGAACTTGCTCTTAAGAGATCTAGAAGTCACCATCTTTGCAAGGGAGAGAGAATTACTTAAGGTATTGGTTCTTCTTTCCCTCTCTCTTTCTGGAGAAGCATGGGAAGAATCACTGTGGCAGTGATGCCCATGCCAAGTCCCTGTTGGATTGTGACCTTGATTCTCTTAGTTACTTGTGAGATGAAGGAGACTGGAAGGAATAGTGAAGGTAATAAAGGTTCCTTTTAGCAAACAAAGGACCAGAGGAGAATGTTGTTGGTGGGAGCTGAAGAGGTTCTCAGATGACTCTCATCTCCTCTTTAATGTAATCCAATGCCATGCAAGAGGTTATGGTTTAACATGGGGTACAAACTAACACCCAGAATGAGTGTCCCTGACCTGAAGTCCATAGTTCAGCCTGACAAGCGAGGAGGTAATAACCACCACCACCACCCCACCCTACCCGGCCTCACTCTCACCCATTCCTTCCTTCCAAATCCCGACTGCTGTGATCCTTGCGTTCAACCAACCCTGGATAACTGCAGCAGCCCCGACAAAGAAAGTCCCCTGTTGCATGGAGATAAGATAGCTGGGGGTGGTGGTGCTTAGCAAGAAGCCCAGGTGTTATAACTTGCATTGCTGGGAATGGATTCCTGAGCAGCACTGGCAGATTGGTGACCGAGAGGAAGGACTGGCATCTTGAGGTCACTGCTGTGACTCAAACTATACTACTTGAGGCTTTGCATCTGTCCAGGTGTGACCTCGGGCAGGCTGCATAGAAACAGTAGCCTTTCTCCCTACCTCCTGTCCCCCAAGGGTGAACTTGGGGTTTTCTCTTCTGTGACACCTATGAAATCCTATTGGATTTCTGCCATTGCTCTTTAGGATCACTCTTTCCTAACCTAAGGTTGTAAGGCCATTAGCTTTGAGATCTTTTTCCAAAACACTCCACATGTATTCCATGAGCACAAGCACCTCTATTTTCGCTGTACTGTGGGACCACTGTGTGGTTCATTATCCTCCAGAACTGTGGGCTGGTACTGTTGTGTAGATCTGATGGTGCTGTCTACCTGTCCCCCACAGCTGTGTGCAGAAGCTTTCCAAGCCAGTAAATTCTCCACTTACAGATATTTCTGGTCACTCTGGTCATTTCTGGTTCAGTGGAGGGGAATGGAGAACACTGTGCAAGCTTACTGCAGCTTAAGTTCACGCTGTACAGGCCTGGGGACTTTTAGGTTCTTTGCATTTTATTTTCTGCTA